TTTGAGTGTAGTGTGACGGCACAACCTGATACAAAATCCAGCAGACCTGAATCCTTTAAAATTTCCTTAACTTCAAACAAGAGAAAATTATTACCAGAACTATTACTACTTTCTCTACGTTCCTTATACTGAATTTCAGTCAGTAACAATGGGCCAAGGCAAAAAAGTGAATCATATAATGTTCCCTAAACAGCAAAAACTGTCATGGTCATATTTGGGCATTGAATATGCACTACTTAGCTACTAAGAATAGAAAATGAACCATTTTACTGGGCCTGGAGCATATATTTTAAATCCTCCATACTTGCACCCAATTTATGGGTTCGGGTATAGATTTATTTAATTATCTTGTTGTGTGACCAATCCACACACACTTAGCATGTCCACTGTACAGAGTTTTGTAGAAAAAATATCCTCTTCTTTAAAATTTGAAGGTCAGATTTGGTGCAGAGATCATGTAAATTCAACGTCCCTTATGCTGTTTAAAGATCTGGAAGGCAGAATAATAAACATAAGGGAAAGCATTGAATAAATGGTTCTTACATATGAGAGTATATCTCTAAGCTTTTCGAAGCAGGCTTCTTGACCAGGGTAAGGATGACCCTGTACAGGTACGGAAGTGACAGAGAACGAGTCCGCAGAGCAAATTTCTAGCCTGGCCAGGAATCTCTCGAGGGGAGGAGACGATGACTCGGGCTTGTGAAGCGGGTTGGGCGCAGAAATTGGATCAGGGAAAAACGGCATTAGATGGAGTGGATTCGGACGAGGGTTTTTTACATTTCAGAAGCTTCCAAGATTCTTGATTGGTTTTGCGCTTCGCTAGGGCCGCTAGCCGGTTTGCTTCTGCGCGTCTTCTCTGCTCTGCAACTTGGAGCTTGGATGGTAGAAATGGCTAGACAACAGGGTCAACAATGGCGGAGAAGAATTTGAAAGGAGCATAGGCGGGGATGTTATAGAAAAAAGATTTGGTAGCGTAGGACAACCAAATGGAAGTATGGCATTTCAGACTCAAATCATACGGTAGTGCAGCGGCGAATTCAAAATTAGAGCTAAATGGGGTATTGACTTTTGAGGGTCCTATATTAGTTTGATAGAATATTAAACTCGTAGCACTGCGATGATGAACAGGCTGTTAATTTACATATAATTAGTTTATCTTTATAATAATGAAAAAAGAAAACCCTCTAAATAGGAGTAAACACATGAGTTATATCCTCAAAGTAAGAGTTCAAACTTAAACTCCTCTAAATAGGAGTAATTAATAATTTCTATTACTTAAATATTAGAAGTATTCATGGGCCATTCATTTTTTTCGTCATTAGATCACCACTGTCATATGTGATATAATCAACACGATGTGCAGTTTGGCCTTTTTTATGCAGGAGCTAATTACTGTGTGTGCAATGATGGGGTGAGTCATGAGTGATCCCAGCTACAGAAGAACATAGATTATGCTTGTGGTAACAGAGCAGATTGCAGGGCTATCAACCAAAATGGACTCTGTACCGTTCCGGCGGCACCTAGTTAGGACGGGTGTGTCCATCCGTTCCGGCCTACCGTACGGTACCTGGGTACCGTCTCACGGTATAGGGGTACCGTGTGGCGGTATACCCTACCGTCTGGGGGTACCATGCCACTGTCCTGATTTTTCCAAAATTCCCGTAATCCTTCGTGTTTGAGTTTAAAACCTTTTGGATATTTGAAAATGTTTATGGGATGGTTTTAAACATATTTTGTGAGTGCGTTTGAGCTTGTGAATATAGGTATATAAAGTCATATTCTTACATCGGTTTCTACCTATATTTTACGCTAGTTTGGTGTTTCGACTTCATTCTTGAGTACCGAATCTTAATGGATTCTTGTTGTACCTGAAACACTTAAACAAACGTCAAGCTCTTATATT